TTGCGTAGCTTCTAGTTTGCCCATGAATATATTTGCTAGAAGTGGACCCAGGTGCGAGCCCACAGCTACTCCGTCCAATTGTCTGTACAGGTTATTGTCAAATAGGAACTGTAAATTCAAGGTGCATTTTAGCAATAATTCCTTTAGTGCAGTAACCGGCATTCCTATGTCCTGCTGAGTCCAAGGCCTCGAAGCCTGCACTGCGTACTCCAGATGCAACCGCACGAATGTTCCATGTACGCTTCCGAAGAGTTCTATGTGCATGTTAACAAACGTTCTTAATATGGCTCTCATAACCGATATTGCTCTCGCTGCGACTTTGGAGTACTGCGGTGTGACAGTTAGGTCGTCTTTAATAAGTACATCAATGTCTCGTTGCATGCTCACGATTTCAAGTGGTTCGTCTCCCAAAATATATTGTCGTAAGAGTGCATTCCTGCGGCATCTTGTTGATATCATATGCATTACTACACATTTTTTAGGAATGAATTGCATGTACCAACTTTTGCTGCAAGGGTGCAGCTGGTCTGTATCCTCTTGCAGTATATGGAATTCCCTTTCCTCTTTTATGACCCTCAGTCGTTTGAGATAATCTTAACTTCTCGCACTGTGTCACTTACGTAGATGATGAAAAGGAACGGCCCAAGGAGTGGCCCTTGTGAAAATCCACTTTTGACAAATGCCCACTCTGATCAGTAGCCACCTGCAATAACTTTTTGGATATGGTCTCTCAGTAAATCTTCAATCCAGTTCAGGAGATTCCCTGCTATCCCAAATTCGGACAGCTTTCGGATTAGGTGCTGATGTGGAACGCGATCAGTTGCCTTGGTGAAGTTAACGTAGGTAACATCTACTTGGTGTCCTTCATCCATGGCCTTTGTCCAGTGTTCGAGTGTTGTGGTAAGATTTGCTTGACAAGACCCCATCTCACAGAGACCATGCTGGCCTGGGCTGATTTGGGGCGAAATGTATCGAGCGATAAAATCGATTTTTTTAATTATCCTTTCCATCACCTTGTAATAAATACATGTCAAACTGACAGGTTGGTAGTTTGTGGAATAGAACCATGATCCTCCCATCTGCCAACTTCCATGTTTCAGAAATTTTACCAGCTTCCGGCGATTTTCGAAAGATTATACAAGAGTGGTTCCGCTAATTCTTCAGATGGTTCGCGTAGAATTACACCTGGGACCTCATCCGGTCCAGGTGACTCGGACCGGTCCAACTTCTTTAACACCGCCAAAACTATCTGCTCTGTAAATAATACAGTGTTTATGATTGAGCTGTTGATGAGAGGCGACAGAAAGTGGCTGGAGATTTGGTTCCATGTTATAGACATTGTGGAAGTCTTTTTTAAAGAAGCTCGGCTTTTTGAGGGCCATCGCTCACATTTTCATTGTTTTTGTCTTTTAAGGTTACGAGGTGGTCACGGTTCTTTGTAGATTACAGACCATACCACAGCCTGTATTGGACTTTGTCTAAATGCTCCCATATGGAGCGTCCACAGAATAGTCCCCCTTCACGCCGTTTCCTCTTGGGCCTTCTCCAGTTGGCTCCGATAGAATTGGTGTGCTTCCCTAAGTAAGTAAGTAATAAAATAGGTTAGT